CTACCATTTCTCCCACGTTTCTACACCCTACACCGCACCTGCGCCGCCGCCGCCCGCCACTATTTCGCATATTTCGTATCGTTCTGCGGTACATGCGCATCCTATCCGCTCCCATTGGCTTTCTGCGCATTGGTACTATCGGGCACCAACGAGCTCCCTCATTGGTCGCTCATCGCACCAATGAATCCTTCCCCCCTTGGTAGACATCCTTACCAATTATGTTCGAGGATGTGTTGCTTCATAATGCAACCGGGCGCAAACTTGTTCTGGATTCTCGCAGACTATATTTGGTGTTTCCGTGGTGGCAGACTATCCCCTGGTAAAAGTTCCCAATTGCAGTAAAGTATGAAAAAATGATATCAGTAGATGTAAAAAAGATTTTTCTTTTCAAAAATGTCAAAATTTAGCAATTTTATAACGTGTGCTGCCCATATTTTACGATAGTCTGCGGGGTCGTTCCGGGCCTGCTAAGGTCAGCTTCACTTGGATCGTTTAAGACACCTAGACATCATTCATTGCAAAACAAGGTATTGCTAGAATGGAAATTAATTGCTAAAAGTTATAGAATAGTTTTTGTTTCGTAAAAATGAGCAAAAAATGCGTATGGGGATAATAAGTGACAGCGTCTTTTGAGGTATCACCTTTTTGGTGCCGGCATAAGAGAGCTTGGACGAATTTATGGCAAATTCTTTGTGAATAATATTAAAATGAACAAAATAAACAGTTATTGTCTTTTTGATGCCTTTTTTCCATCTGAATTACTCAAAAATTGATTTTTTGTTATTTTACTCGAACTCATGGCAGTAAGATATCTTAACTTGTAATAAATCGACCGAAGGCATTATTTTGTGCTGCATATTATTCATTAAATTTTGTATTAAAATAAATTGAACATCAAAATCGTTTTTGTCATTCGGCAATGAACTTAACCAGCAACAAATACATTTTTAAAAAATAAATATATTCTCAGACTAGGCAACGCTGTCTCGCGCGCTTTTACGCTTGCTTTTCCGCGAACGCGCCGGGCTAGTCTCGAGATTTGCGTGAGTTATTGTAAAGAAGTATAATTTCGTGGGGTAATTTAAGAGTTAAATGTTCATGTGCAATTTTTCTCGTTTTTTCATACTCAACAATACGATTTTTGTTTAAAGGCTGAGATACTGAGTCTATGACTCATTCGACTTCGACCATCTTCGTTCAAGGAATCTGAGGTGGGATTGTTCATGTCAATTTTTGTAACAAGCTCAGGTAATGGTAATACTTAACATAAACCATGTGTTTTGTCTTAACTTCTCTCCTTCTTGATTATACCTTCACTTCTACCTAGGCTAAGAAACTGATATTCAAGGGTAGCTGCTTTCACACTAGTAGCCTTCTGGTGGGTTCAGATTGTTTTCTTGCATTTAGTTATGATATGTTCTTGGATTTCCCTTGTTTAAATTAGGCAAATGTGAGTATTAATATTTATATAGGTATGCATCATTATGCTTGAGCAATGGCAATGTAGCCTACCTGCTTATTAAGTAGATACGAGATTGCATGGGTATTCATTAAGCAGGCGTCTCACGAGATGCCAGATTTGAAACATAATCTAACCTGATCTAACCTTGCCTACTAACCTACAACCTACAAGCCTAATACCTACAACCTACAAACCTACAATCTACAAACCTACAACCTACCAACACTGCCTGCCTAGGATGCCAGGATGCGACACTGCCTAGGATTTAGGGTTCCTTACATCCACAAACCTACAACCTACCTTGCTATTGTAGACAGATCTGGCATCTCATGAGATGCCTGCTTAATGATTACCATTGCTTGTTGGTCATGTACAAGTGTTTCACTTTGATATATGCTGCATTTCAACAATGTCTGCCCATTATGCTAAAAAGAAACTGATATAATGCGGTAGCTGCATTAAAAATTTGGAACCATAGTTGAGTTCCAACTTTGTTCTGCGACCTTTTCAAAATTTTAGTCTGCGAACTTAGATCCCCAAACCACTTTTCTGACACTGGCACGGCCGCGACTTCTGGCTCGTCAAGAACAGCTGGTCCGACCGGTGGGGAGAGCACGGCTACGTGCGCATCGCGCGCAACCACAACGCCTGCGGCGTAGCCAACAACGCCATCTTCCCGCTGGTCTGAGACCGGCACGGCACGGGCGCCTCCGGCCGCGCGTACCTCGTGAACGCTGCGCATGTGGTGCCGTTTGAATGTAGCTGAGAGATAAGTCTGTTAAAGCACCTGGTCATGTTTTGACTTTAAACGTGCGGTAATGCACTTGTTACAATTCATATTGTCACGTCCAATGCTCATGCAATGTCAATAATTGCATTTCTTTATTTCGAATAATAAACAGAGTCGTAACCCAGATTTGTAGTCCATACTTACCTATCTTTTCTTCAGCATGAGTGATGGTGATATGTCGAAAAGGACGATACTTTTAACTGCGGCTAGTTTTGACCAAAAATAGAAATTTTAGACGCATTGCTTTTCTGTTCATTGATCTGTCAGTCACCCAAGACTAGACGAGCTGACTAGCACCGGGGGAATGGGCGTCGAAAGCGAGGGGATTGGGGGAGGCGTCTCCCAGTAGAAATGCCGCGGTAGAGACGTCCCCTCCGAAAACTAACGCCCATGAGTATCTAAGTTACCTACTTTGCAAAGCAGGGATGCGGAGCCGTGTAAATTTCAGACGGCTCCGGCTCCGGCTCCGAAGAAAACATTTGTTCCGGCTCCGGCTCCAGGTGAAATGTCATGACGGCTCCGGCTCCGGCTCCGTCTCGGCTGCGTTGGGGGGGGGGGGGGGGGGAGGGGGAGGGGAGAGACGGTGCTGGGAGTCGCAGTCCACTGCACTGGCTTCAAAACAATGGCCTTCACCTGCAATGACCGGTCCTCAGGTTCTGGGGATGCAGAAGACATGGGGAGGGAGGAGCAGACAGGAGGTTGATTGCGTACTGTGGCACACTAGGGGGGATACGTAATCAGCTTTTTTCATTCACGTGATGGCACATGGCATACCACATGTTTTACTGGCCTGTACTGTCGAACCGAACTAGGTCAATTAATTTTCTTCCTCTTAACACGCGCAGTGGAAGGGTTGCGAGTACCACGCCCAGTGGAAGGGGGAGGGGCGGATGTGCCCCCCCCCCCTAAGATCTCAGCTCCCACTGAAGCTAGAAAGACGAAATTTGGAGGGTAGGTGGCAGTAGCGGCGGAACACCTTCAATTAAGGGGGGGGGGCACTGCCGACTTTTGGTCTCATTCTTTTCACGCAACGCCCATAGGGCTAATGTTAAAAAGCCAAAATAAAAGGGGGCACGGTGCCTCAGAGCCCTCCCCGTTCCGCCGCCTATGCTCCCAGGGATGCGGAGCCGTGGAAATTTCAGACGGCTCCGGCTCCGGCTCCGGCTCCGGAGAAAAAAATCGGTCTTATTCATCATCGGCGCGGGAAAAGTATGATTCAAGTAGCAGACATGCTGTAAATAAGGTCCAAAATAACCAAAGGGAGTTTTTTTTTTGTGTAAAATACACCCTGATATGAAATGTTACACCAAGCTTTATGAAGTCACCTGCTGGTGCGTTATTTGACGAGGGTCTTAAATTCCACGGAAAGAGCCAGTAGGTATAGATGGTATCCACTTATGATTACGTCGACCGCATACCACAATGAACTGGGTGGGTGGGTATGGGGTATGATACCGAGTGGTTCGGCAACTACCTAAGCGGACACACTCAGCAGGTGCAGATGGCCAGTGGTGACGGTGGATACGTGCGGTCGAGTGTCAAGTCAAACACAATTGGCGTGTTCCAAGGCGGATCGTTAAGTTGTATGTTGTATTCGGTGTTTGCAAACGAAATGTGTCTGTACCTGCCTGACGGTGTCACAATCGTGCAATTTGCAGACGATACTCAACTTCTTGTGAGCGGTAAAAAGCGTGACTTGGCACAGGTCATCCAACGCATGGAGCAGGCGCTAGAGTGTCTCTTCCAGTGGTTCTGCGCAAACACTATGAAGCTAAACACCGCTAAGACGCAGGTCCTTGTACTAGGAACCCCCGCTATGCTGCGAGGACTGCCGCCTGTCACACTGACTGCCATGGGTGCTGTTATTCCGGACTCTAGAGTTGTCAAAAATCTCGGAGTGGTCATGGACAATCATCTCAGCTTCAGGTCGCACATCGATTATGTGACAGCTAAGTGTACTGGTGTCCTAATCGGTCTGATGCACGCCAAGCACTTTATACCGAAGGCCTCTCTGCCTGTGGTAGTAGAAGCGCTCGTGAACTCCGTTATCAGATATTGCTTCTCGCTATACGGTACGTGCACCGCTACTCAGATTCATCGTGTGCAGAAACTGCTGAACTTCGGTGCTCGAGTTATTAGCGGCCGTCGTAAATACGACCACATCAGTGACGTTCTGTGCGACTTGGAGTGGTTGAATGCCCCTAACCTTGCTAAGTACCATCGCATCAGTTTGGTGCACAGGGTCACTACGACTGGAAAGCCGGAAGCGATCGCACAAACCATCGGTGACACCATGCGTCACTCGTACGAGACGCGCAGAGCTGCCGACCACGCGCTGCCGAGAATCCGCACGGAAGCCGGTCGCCGGCGGCTCTGTTATAGCGCAGTGCGTGAGTACGACTCTCTGCCGTTTGACGTCACCGTGCGAAACTTTCGGCGCCAGCTCAAAAAGCATCTATTGAAAGAACAGTGTGAGGCGCATGGTTAGCTCAGGTCGAGTGGTTGAGTGCTGCTTTTTATGCCTGGTCTTTTACTTGTGTTGTAAATGTTTGACGTGTGCCAATGAAAAACCATGCACCATGGATTTGTCATGAATATATTATCTGTATCTGTATCTGTATCTGAACAGGGTATGGTTGAAGTCGCACGGCCCTTGCACCTCTCAGCCGAGGAGCCTGCAGATATTTGTCGCGGGTCATCTTCCCCGATCGTGGTGGGAATGGGGGGGGGGGGTCAGCTCACCCGCCGCGCTGGGTGGGACAGACGGCGAGTCCCGCGGCACAGTCTACCTCCCGGGGTGACCCCGGCCCGGTGGGGTCGCCGCGCATGCGTAAATCGATCCGCCGCTTCGGTCAGCCAATGGGAGACCGCCGCCTGACCTGACCTTGCTGGAGGACAGCTGGATCAGCGTCTGCGAGCGTGCCGGTGGAGGCGCCGGCGTTCACTGTGTGTTCGGACGACCTGGCGGCCGCACCGGTCCTGGATATCAACTGTTTGTGCATATCTAAGAGTAAAAGGTCCATCAGAGCTCAAAATGCATTGGCTATTTCTAATGTCGCTTGTTCCGTTGGCGAGTGCCGTTAGCCTATTTACGTTAGATAACGACCTAGGCAGCGAGGAGATGTTTAGCGAGTGGCACGACTTCAAGCAGGCCCACGACAAGAAGTACGAGACCGAGGAGGAGGAGGACCTCCGCTTCTACATCTTCCAGGCCAACAAGCGTCTGGTGAACTCCCACAACGAGGCCTTCCAACGCGGCGAGCACGGCTTCAGCCTGGAGGTCAGTCATACCGTATCGGCTAGCGCGCCCGAGGGCAGAACGGTACGATTGCTGAACGGCACGGGCTGCCTTCTGCTTGTCTGGTGAATTATAGGAGAATTCAGGGGTGCTGGCAGGCAGATAAACAAACAAAGCTAGGCTCCGGGGTTCGATAACGTCACGATAAGCAGTAAGTGATGTTGGAAAGCTCTTCAACGATGATAAAGAAAGTAGGTGCCTTTCCCATTGGTCACCAAAAGTAGACAAAGGCAAATTGGTGTTAGTTGATAAAATAAAATCCGCTGTCCCTGTGTGCTGACCCGACTCCGCCATCGTCCTCGTACACTGACCCCCCGTCCATGTGTGCTGTGCTGACCCGCTGGCCCTGTGTGCTGACCCGGCGCCCCTCGCTGCCCCCAGCTGAACCAGTTTGCCGACCTGCTCCCCGCTGAGTTCGCGGCGCAGCGGCTCGGGTTCGATGGCCGCCACCCGGCGCCGGAGACGGCCGGCACGGCGGCCACCTTCCTCCGACTGCCCGCCGAGATCGAGCTGCCGGCCGCCGTCGACTGGCGCACAGTCGGCGCCGTCTCAGCCGTCCAGGACCAGGGCCGCTGCGGCTCGTGCTGGGCCTTCTCCGCCAACGGCGCGCTCGAGGGACAGCACTTCCGCAAGACGGGTCGGCTGGTGAACCTGAGCGAGCAGAACCTGATCGACTGCGCCGGCCCGTACGGCGCCTACGGCTGCCAGGGCGGCCGAATGCGCGCCGCCTTCGCCTACGTGCACGCGCAGGGCGGCGTGGACACGGAGGCCGCCTACCCGTACGAGGCGGACGACGACAACGCGTGCCGGTACAGCGCCGCCGCCGGCGCGGTGGGCGCCACGGACGTCGGCTCGGTGGCGCTGCCGAGCGGCGACGAGCAGGCGCTGAGGGAGGCGGTGGCCGTGTACGGACCCGTCTCCGTCGCCGTCGACGCCAGCCGGCCGACGTTCCAGTTCTACGGCGGGGGCGTGTACGACGACCCGGCGTGCTCCGCGGCGCGCCTCAACCACGCCGTGCTGGCCGTCGGCTACGGCACCGACGAGCACGGCCGCGACTTCTGGCTCGTCAAGAACAGCTGGTCCGACCGGTGGGGAGAGCACGGCTACGTGCGCATCGCGCGCAACCACAACGCCTGCGGCGTGGCCAACAACGCCATCTTTCCGCTTGTCTGAGGCCGGCACGGCACGGGCGCCTCCGCCCTCGCGTGCGTCTGAGACCGGCACGGCACGGGCGCCTCCGGCCGCGCGTACCTCGTGAACGCTGCGCATGTGGTGCCGTTTGAATGTAGCTGAGAGATAAGTCTGTGGTCATGTTTTGACTTTAAACGTGCGGTAATTCACTTGTTACAATTCATATTGTCACGTCCAATGCTCATGCAATGTCAATAATTGCATTTCTTAATTTCGAATAATAAACAGAGTCGTAACCCAGATTTGTAGTCCGTAGGCATCTTTTCTTCAGTATGAGTGATGGTGAAAAATGAAAGTGTCAAAAGGACGATACTTTTGACTGCGGTTAGTTTTGCCCAAAAATCGAAATTTTAGACGCATTGCTTTTTACGGAGCGAGCGAAGCGAGCGGAGTCTTCGTAGTCGGAGTCGTATATAGAATAACGGAAATTTCGGAGTGTGAGCGGGCCGGCCGTGCGGACGCTTTTGCGACGCTTACACGTATGTATAGCTCAGCAACCACTTGACCGATTTACATGCGGTAATTTTTGTAGGGTAGCTTAATTCCTTCTACCAAGCACTGGACTATTCCCGATGCATGAAAACGAAGAGGTGTCAGTTTTGTAACAATTGCAATATCTCTACTGGGCCGATTGTGCTGAAACTTGGCATGTTGGTAGGCACCCACTAGGCAATTCATTTGCATGTGCCACAGTTGGGATGCTGCTGCACGTGCACACGTGCAGGGGTCGATTCCAGATCACGAGAACGGCTGGACCGATTGCGCTCAACTTTGGTACGTGGTTAGGGACCGGTTAGAAGGATGCAGTGCAAAAGTCGGTTGGGACCCATTTTGCACGAGCGCACGTGCAGGGTGCCGCTTCCAGATCTTGAGAACGGCCAGGCCGATTGTGCTCAAATTTGGCACATCGCTAGAGACCGATTAGAAGGGTGCCGTGCACAAGTCAGTGGGTGTAGGGGAGAGTGGGGTAATTTGGCCGCTTTTTTTAGAAAACGATGTACCTAACTAAAAATTGACAACACATTTCTGCATTTTCTCAACGCTGACAGGTGTGGCATACATTTTACTTTCCTGGACAGTAAACTTGAAATGATCGGGTAACTACTTATATTGAAATTGTGACGTATTACAAAGGTCTGCAAAGCGGCCAAATTGCCCCACTAGCAGGGTTATTTGGCCGGGGGTGTGGGGCAATTTGGCCGGTGTTAGTTTGAGGCCATGATTTTTGTTATCGGCGAGTCAGCTTCACATTCAGCGATGACGCGTGTCCTACGACGCATTTGAAGCATTTTGGAGGTTGACTCAGCCGTCACAGGGGTCGAAAATAGTCAAAATAGCGGCTCTAGATGCGATGACAGTTTTTTATGAATAGCTTTTGAAGTAATCAAGCTAGGCCAAAACTAAAAGTACCATCGTAATTCTCTCGTCATTCCGCATCGAAACATGTATGTGTTGACCTCGAGAGGTCAAGATCAAAGGTTGGCTTCAGGTCACGTTACCTCAGGTCGCTTGACCTCAAGGTTACGTGAGTTCAAGGTCATCATGTATATCATTCGATGCGCCTTGACGAGCTGAACACAATGAGACCATTTGCGCGGTTGTATCTTTTTTCTGTAAGTATTTATTAGCAAAAAAGCGTTAGGTAACCGTTGATGACGTCACATGCCCTTACTGCTGTCCAATAGGAAATATGGCATCAAAGTAGTCAAAGTTGGTCATGAATTATGTCCTTTATTGTATAATTGACCATGACAACTCGGCCGTCCCAGCATAGTGACTCTGAGCGCACCGGCCAAGCTGCCCCGCTAGTCCCGGCCAAATAACCCCACATTGCCATTCTGAAAATTTTTGTCTATAAAGTCGTCATGGCTGTACAGAACTAAATGAAATTGCTCTTGAAACCGCTGAACACCCTCAAGAATGGCGCTATAATGTTGGAATTCGTTTACAGCCCAAATACTACATGTAATACAAATTTTAAAACGGAAGTAAAAGTTACCATTTTCTACTGAAATTCACGTTTTATTAATTTTGAATAAAACTAAGAGGGGGAAAGTTTTGATATTTGTTCTCGAGTTAGTTCTGCCGATGACATATGAATAGAGACTAAAGTTATTTCATTCACTTTTATCAGCTTTCGTACAGGTGGGGGCGGCCAATTTACACCACCGGCCAAATTACCCCACTCTCCCCTACCACCTCGCAATTTCGCACGTGCAAGGCCCATCCTCTCGCTCACTCCGTTAGTCGCCCCCAAAAGGCGTTATAATGGTTCTTTACACTGCTCTGCCAGTCACTCAAGACTAGACGAGGAATTGAAAAGCACTGGGGAATGGGCGTCGAAAGCGGAAAGCGAGGGGATTGGGGGAGGCGTCTCCCAGTAGAAATACCGTGGTAGAGACGTCCCCTCCGAAAACAAACGCCTATGAGTATCTTAGTTACCTACTTTGCAAAGCAGGGATGCGGAGCCGTGTAAATTATAGTAGAACGCATGGTTATAGACACGAGCACCTCGATACGATAGATATTTTTCCCAAACCAAAATGCTTAACCATCAAAAGGCAATCGACCGAAATGGATACATAACCCACGGCCATGCATCAGCGCCATGCATTCTATGTATAGGCTAGCCGCTAGGCTCTAAACTCTGTAAGAATTGTAGGGGAGAGTGGGGTAAGATGCCCAGGGTGGGAAAGACGCCCCACCCCCTCTAGCGGGGAAACAAAGAATCGAACCTGGAAATTAATGTTCTGTAAGGTGTGTCGCGGTGTGTTTGTTAAGGTGTATCGCGGTATGTGCCTTTTGGTTTATAGCTAGAAATTCGTGTAGCGGTATGTTCTTTATGTTTTCGCTCGCCTTTTGACTCGCCTTTTGACATTTAGAAACACGTCGAGGTCAGCGTAGTCAGAACCGTAAGTCACTGTCGCCCGATCGATTTTAGCCTCAGACCGGGTGACAGGACTTATCCACCTTCGGGCGAGTATATAACCGCAGCGGGGAGTGAGAACGGGGTCAGTGCCTGTACGCCGACCAGGCTGCAACGCTGCACCCGACCTCATCCACGCTGCTGGTAAGCTGGCTCGAAGGTAGGTTCCGACTACGCAGGGATGCTGTGCGGGCTCAAGGCACATCCCATAGATAGGTAGGAGCAAGCGGGTGGAGGGTTAGGTTAGCATGCGGGCGTTAGGGTATTGTTAGGGTAGATTGCGTTCGCGGTAGGAAATAGGTTTCTAAAATGATAACGTCAAATTAGCGCAGTCCGTTATGACCACATCACGAAATTATGAACAATAAATGGGGCGTTGAATTGACCAGATGCTTTTGGTAACGGGATGAGTCTGAGGAGAACGGTGATTGAGCGGAGTCTAACTTTATCGGTACATTAGTAAAGTCATCAATGGCCAGGAGCTTCACTCCTAAACCCATAAGGGCGCGCTACCAACCGCGGCGTGCCTCAAAATGGCGGAGTGATTCACACTGGTACCACGATGCATTGTAACTTAACGTAAAATAGTAGAATTAGACATTGGGATGTTCGTGGCCCGAGTGGCAGTCGGGCACAGGCTGGGAGACGTCTTAGCCTAACACGGACATCATGTAGAGTAGTAGTTATACAATCAGAGGGGAGGCTGCGAAAGGCCAAAAGGACCGGCACGAGCCCCCCCCTACATAAATGGTGCATCGGCCGGGAAACGTTCTTTCAAGTGAAATTCGAGGACTGAACAACGTTTTTCATCCGGTTGGTCAGGCACGCCATTACGTAAGACTTAAACTGCATTAATGAAACGCCCTGCCGTAATAACTCCGAAGCGCTTGTTAGTACGTGGTTTTGTAAATCTTAAACTGTGTAAACAAACGGCTAACAGTAAGTCGTAAAAACGTTTTTCATTTAATCCTGAGCAATAGGATCTTGGTATGGGGTACGACGCTAACGTAAGACTTAAACTGCATTTGGCGAGACGGCCCACAGTAAATCCAGCGCGCGTGTTCAGTACGAGATTTTGTAAATCATAAATTGTAAAAATCAAACGGCTGATAGTAAGTCGCAACGATCGAATGAATCTTGAAAGAACGGTTGATGTGCCATTATTTTAAATTTATTAAATTTACACCGCTCAATATCCGAACTTCTAGGAACAATCGAGCCAGACCAGCAGCCAAAATTGTTAGGCAAAAGCTTGCTATGACTGCAATAAAAATGAGAAACAATGAAAACTTTAAGAGTGAGTAACGAGTTGTATTGGTGAGAAGCGAGAGTGCAGAATGTTGCGAGTCGCTAAGTGTAAATGGAAAAGGAAAAGTATCTCGAGCTGATGAGAGTATGTTAAATGAATGAATGATACATTTCTAGAATGGAGAGTGTAAGCTGAATGAAAGAATGAAAATGGAATGCGAGTTGTGAGTATGTTGATATTAGATGGACAATGCCTATCTGAAGTTGAGTGAATAGTGAGTGAACTTAGCATGCAATGAAAATATGTAAATTCCCATCTCGATCGTAACATTCACATATTTACGATTAGCGGGAGGCTTGTTTTGATTAACTCAGTAATGTGTGCATTGTTCATTTACAAATACGTGCATTACCTCATTTTGATCTTATCTCAATAATGTATATAATTAGATAAATTATTGCCTTCCCATAAAAATTATTCGTTTAAATTATACCTTTGTACTGCATGAAACTTTAGATGTACGGTTGATGCATGTTTTGGGTTCCTTTGTTTTGCCCGCCATTCTATTTCAAAATTGTAATGAAATGACACTTGATTTAACATGTGTCAGCTATATTGCCTTTGTGACAAATTAGAATAAGGTGAAGTAATCGTGTACTATTCAACCTAACAGTCGCGGAAATTTTCGATGATTGAAAGACTAAAATTTAATTTAGATATAACCATGTTAAAAAGGACTTGGTCATAAAGATATGAAATGATATATTATATGTATAGCATAACCTCCGCTATTGACGCCTTCCCGACCAATTAAAAATAAGGTAGAGTATTTTGTGTTCATTCAACTTCGCAGTCGCGAAAGATCCTAAATTATCGGAAAACTCAATCAGATTTCGCTACAATGATAAATCACCAAATGAAACTATAACGGCTGGGACATAAACATCTGCCAAATGAATTTCAGATTACACATCATATCATCTAATTTATCAAAAAGATTGTAAAAAAGTTGTGTATTTCAATGCAATCGTGAAATTTCCCCCTAATATTGATTGGATATAACGTTT